ATTGTGCCTGCTGCACCCATGGTACGGCAGCAAAGTTCCTTGATTATTACGCTGGAATGAGAGTATAGTTCCTAACCATATCGGCTTAGAAAATCACAACTTTTCATTTTCTGTCGGTCTTAGTACACGATGTAACAACGGTAGAGTCAAGTTTTAAATAGGAAAAATATAGAAACTCTTTGGTCATTTTTGAGCGAGATGCTAACGGTCTAATCAGATTCAATGATCTATGCTAAGCTACAGCTAAAAGTGCTACCACCAGACCCGGAGATCGGCTGAATGGATTCAAAAACGGTAAAACTCAACTGTTTAACTCTAGGGGAGTTGGAAAATGAGCCTATTTTCAAAAATAGTGGAGTGTTCCTTTAATACTTAATGCAAGTCTCTTTTTTTTGGCCAATTTAATATTTTGTTAGACAACTCACACTTTGATTCTTCTCATATAAAAACAAAATAACATGTGATTTTATTTGCATAAGACAGCAATGGACAAATCCAGAGAGATCCAGGTTTGCAGAACAACAGGTGGAGGATAAGAACAGGAGACCTGCATGCCTGCAGGGGTATTTTGCTGATCCTATGAGATACTGATATGAATTAATGAGAAGCTGAGTTGAGATTACGCAACACAGTCTGAATCTGCTAAAGCTCTTGCTGAATGAAGCATGCCTGTATTGCGTAACAGGAATTCAGAATGTGACTGACCGCTGATGACCTGGCCGAACAGTTCTTCTGGAGTGTCTCCAAAGAATGGTACACAGCCCACCAGGAACTCATAGAGGATGATGCCCATTGCCCACCAGTCCACTGGCTTCCCATAACCTTGCCTTAGGATTACTTCTGGTGCAATGTACTCAGGTGTCCCACACACCTGTAAAGAAATATGTATGCAGACATTACAACCCTTAAAGGGGTCCTTGATTATGATTTCACTTTTCTAACTTTAGTTAGTGTGTAATGTTGCTGTTTGAGCATAAACAACATCTGCAAAATTAAGATGCTCAAAGTTCAATGCAAAGGGAATTTGAATTACAGAATTAGCTTTTTAAGGCTTACAACACACGGCTGGAAGAGACTACAACGAGCTTCTTCCAGGGTTGGTGACATCACAAACCCTAAAAATGTACATAAACCCTGCCCCCAGGAACTCGCAACAAAGGAGGTGAGGCCATGTTGGGCTGCTTTAGAGAAGAGGAAGAGTTGTTGTAGTAGAGTGTTGCCATTATAAATTAAACAACACAATCATGTATTCTACTGTACTAAAGCTTTAATAAAGATTTAATAAGAACAAAACCATATATCAAAAGCTAACATAAACAGCAGTAGCATTTACAAATAACAGCATATCTAAAAAGTATGAGACAACTACAAACAAAACATTTTTTACAATACATCGGCGCACATGCAACTACCCATAATGTTAAGGGGCGTGATGTTTCCGGACAACGTGCACAACACACTGGGCCAGCTAACCAATCTGAGCCCATTGTGTATTTCTGAGGGAGGGGCTTCATAGAACCAGGAAGTCAACAGACAGTTTTTAGGAGAACGGAAATAGCGGTGTAGAATAAAGGTAAAATATGTGAAAAATAATGCAGTTTTTTAAAAACGAAGCGTGAACACGTTACAGTGCACCCCATCAACACAATCAAGCTTTCGGAAACAGCTGATTTACCAACCCGTTAAGATCAACAAAGCTGCTCCATACTAGGTATGGATGCTGGTGTCAGGTCTTATCTAGCTTAACCAGCAAAACTGTTTAAAAGCATGGCTATGCTAGTCCTAGATCAACAACAAACCAGCACTAACCAGGATAAACCAGCCTAGGCCAGCATGGAAATTCATGCTTCTCTAAAGACCAGATATTCAGAGCAGATATCAAACATAGAGGTTATGGCAATGACTAAATAACAAGTTGTCAGGGACTTTCATAGAGAATTGGATCTTTACCTGTTTATCAGAGAACTCTCTAGCATCCTTCTCAATGTGACCCTCATAGAGGTTAGTGGTCATGTTCATCAGCCCCACTTTCGATAGGCCAAAGTCTGTCAGCTTGATGTGTCCCATTGAAGTGACTAACAGACTGTTATAATGTAACAACACAGAGCAAGAAAAACAAAACAATTCGTTATATTAGAATTATCAGAGGAAAACCCTGCTTGAAAAAAACAGAGCTGGTAGCTGTTTTTTGTCAGTTCTGGCAGATCCTCTGCATACTCTAACTAGCAAAGATTGTTTTCCAAACTGAAACCGGGTCCACCAGGTGGTAGGCCAGCTTGGACCAACTAATACAATACAAATCACCAGCCAGAAAGCATGTTAGATCAGCTTCATGCCCATTTAACTTTCATTATGCATACTATGAGGTAGTTCACTAATCTATCACACACAGCTTACTTGTCTGGTTTGAGATCTCGATGGACGATTCCATAGTTGTGGAGATATTCCAGGGCTAATACAGTCTCGGCAAAGTACATTCTAGCCATGTCCACAGGGAGAGGACCCATGTTCTTCAGCAACGTGGCACAATCCCCTCCTGTCAGGATAGGAAACATACAAATTAATGCTGCATAAAGAATGAATATATCGCACAAACAGGGTAACATTTTGCATATTTTTTTATGTATTTATTTTTTGCTTAACTTAAGTCTCATTTATTTGTTGGTTCAAGCAATTTGTTGGTAAAATTGTTTTCCTGAAATTTGATTTAGAAAAAATCAATGTGAATAATTTTATATTTAATTTATTCACTGACCAGTACATGGTTGACAGCTTACTTAAATATTTGAACAAATGAGCTGACTGTACTAAGACATAATTGGTGGTTACAAAATGTTAAATCTAGTATCATTACTATTACCAGGTCATTGATTTATTGGTCCCTGGTTACTATGCATTCTGGTCACCATGTTACTACCCAGAAAACGTAACCATGTATGTATTTCAATATTTTTATTAGCACTAACAGAATAATGAAGCACTGTAAATGTGTTACAGCATACCTTCAACATACTCCATAACCATGCAAAGATGTCTGCGAGTCTCAAAGGAGCAGTACATGCTGACCACAAAAGGGTTCTCAGCAAAAGTCAGGATGTCTCTCTCCACAAAGGCCTGTTGGATCTGGTTCCTCAGCATCAGGTTCTGCTTGTTAATCTTCTTCATGGCAAAACGTTGTTTAGTCTCTTTGTGTCTCACTAAATACACCGCACTTTGGAGAAAAAAAAAACATTCTTGGTTTAAATGAACAATGTATGATAATTTAACACACAGTAACAATGATATAGAGAAACTAATTTAAAGGACTAAGCTTGGAATGGATTACTATGATTTTGCTTACTGTGCTGTATGTACTGAAAACAATTAGCACTATAAAACAGAATGTGAAACAATGTGCAGCATACAATGCTAAACATTTTACCTAATAATTTGCTTCAATATTGTCACATGACCTCATTGCATGTTTTAGTCACTTACCCATAAGCCCCATTACTGATCACTTTGATCATCTCAAAGTCGAGCTCACAGGGTTTACGCCGGGACCGCAGTGCTGCGCTCAAACTGTGGGACTGGATATATAATTTCAATAATTCAAATATTCAGCAAATAAATGAAAGTTCACATACTGTAATAATTTTCATACATTTCATCCTTAAATTAAATTTTATTCTAGAAAATGTACATTTTCCTCTTTAATAACTTCTCTGTGGCATGCTTTAAAGGAACACTCCACTATTTTTGAAAATAGGCTCATTTTCCTACTCCCCTAGAGTTAAACAGTTGAGTTTTACCGTTTTCGAATCCATTCAGCCGATCTCCGGGTCTGGCGGTAGCACTTTTAGCTGTAGCTTAGCATAGATCATTGAATCTGATTAGACCATTAGCATCTCGCTCAAAAATGACCAAAGAGTTTCGATATTTTTCCTATTTAAAACTTGACTCTTCTATAGTTACATCGTGTACTAAGACCGACGGAAAATGAAAAGTTGCGATTTTCTAGGCCGATATGGCTAGGAACTATACTCTCATTCCGGCGTAATAATCAAGGAACTTTGCTGCCGTACCATGGGTGCAGCAGGCGCAATGCAAGCAGGTGGTCACGTTACTTATGTTGACGGAAGTTAGCCTATTTTCAGGCGCTACATAATATCATTGCAATGAGGAAAAATATAGAAACTCTTTGGTAATTTTTGAGCGAGATGCTAACGGTCTAATCAGATTCAATGATCTATGCTAAGCTACAGCTAAAAGTGCTACCGCCAGACCCGGAGATCGGCTGAATAGATTCGAAAGCAGTAAATCTCAAATGTTTAACTCTAGGGGAGTTGGAAAATGAGCCTATTTTCAAAAATAGTGGAGTGTTCCTTTAATAATCACAGTTGTTTATCCGTTTTATATTCCATACATTTCTGAATAACAATTGTGCTGTACAGCAGCGTACTATTTTGCTGTCTTGGTTAATTGGTTTACTTACACTGACAGACTCATCAGTCTCAGGAGTTTCTGCAATCCCGCTGTCGTAGCTAGTTAACTGGGCAATCTCTGCAAGACGATGACAATTAATTAGATGCTGGACTAATTTTTATTTTTTAATATTACGAACAACATAAAAATACATACTATAATTGAGATATAATTGAACTATAATGTTAAGGCTTGTTTTTGGATGAGGACTGAATTGGGGGGAAAAAAAACTATTACAAACAGTAACAACTATGTCCCTCTAATTTTTATTGTTGCTAAACAATATAAGTTTTGTTCTGCCATTGTTTTTACTGAAAGAAAACAAACAAGGGATCAAGTCACATTTTCCAAAAGAGTAACTTGGTAGAGCTGACTGCTGTGGTTTCTAAATGAGTTAAATGGTGTGGAAATCAACGATAAAATCTACACACATCATGAAACATTTACTCGGAAAAACTGCCACTCCAAACAAATCCCGGTAAGGCAGTTCTCAGGAGGCTGCAAAAGTAACTGATGAACAGCAGGAGGTAATGAACCCGAGGGTCATTCGGCTGCCTTCGACAGACAACTAAGCCCATCAGAAAGCCCTAACAACAGCTGCCTATCTCCATTTCCAATCAACACACCAAATGATGTGGATGTTCTCTGAGGATTAGAAAGCCTTGGAGGGCTTTGCAACCAAAACTGCTTTGGCAGAGATGGCAAGACAGAGGCATCAAGGTCAACAAGCGTATTCTGTTCTCATTACCGATAATGATAGTCTTGAGTACAAATTCAGAGCTTTGTTACAGTGTGTGTGTCGTGTCTGTACGAGGCTTTCAGCTAACATTACAAGAAATACAATGCAATAGAAAGGATAGAAATAATTTTCTGCACCTAGGCTCCTGACTATGAACATATAAAATGCATTGATACACCATTAACAAGACTGCAATAAATTTAAAGCCTTTAAAGCCTTCTGGTGTGACCAACCCGATTTTAGCCATATTTTTTATGTGCTGCAGTGAAAATTTTGTAATACACCACTAACGGAGTTGAAAATGTGTGCAGAATTTCAGTAATATGTATCAATAATTTCACAGACAGTGCATAAAATGTATTCATCCTGTGCAATTTTTTCATGTTTTATTTAACAACGCTGAACCACGAAAGTCAGATTTCAATCCAACTGAGAATTTACTAGTGGATCTGACAAAGGCTCCAATCATGATGTCCATGACTGACTGACAACATGCAAGCCATTTGAGAGAATGGGTTCACAGACTGGCTAATATGAACATGATAAACATGATTATAAATTGAGATGTAACCTGGGACATAATAAATGTATTCATTTATTTGCCTATATAAATCTTCTGTAAATCTGTGCCAGTTATTGAAGCACCAAAGGTAATTTTGAAAGTCCACTGAAAACATATCTTCTTACATTTTTGCCACACCCAATATATATTGGCAACATGCTTGACACTCAGCATACCCAGTTAAAAAGGTCACCGCTCGCCACTGATACAGTGCAATACAGATTGTTTCAAAGCAGCTTCACATTAATAAGCAGGAAAATAAAATTAATCGATTATGAAACTAATTCAATTTCAGCTGTAAAATAGATAACAGTGTCATTATTCAGTTCAATTTAGTTCAATGCTTATTCAATTTAGTATAATAACAGTGTCAGTGTTGCACAGTAAGTGTCATTATCCAGCTCAATTAAGTTCAAAGTCTGTACTTCCGATGCAGTACCATTAAATCTATGATATTACTGAAAATGTATTGTCTTTAACAAACTAAACAAACCAGAGACAACAGTAGTGAGGTACCAAAGTGACTGTGGGGAGAAAAAAATACTCTTGAATTTAAATGAATACATATTAAATATTTATGCAAAAAATATTTTATATTTAATAACTGTCATACATTTGGACCAATTTGTAGATTTTGTTATACTTTGTCATAAAGGATTTTTTTTTCTATTGATCAGTCACAAAAAGCCTAATTAAATCTTTTGTGTTTTAATGTTGTAAAACAATAAAACAAACTCCCTGCAGAATGACTAGTTTTATAGGCACTGAACTAATTGTCTTGTTTAAAGATTTGACACAACCTGGGGCAATCCAGCAACTAGTTCTTCCTTGGAAGCACTCAGCCTGAGAGCCTGTGAATAAAACTTTATTTCCTAACGGACTGATAAAAACATGTGAGCCCAGACTCCCATAAGTTGAATGAGTGTCAGCCAAGCAAACTGAAACAGAATTTTAACTTGCTTTTGGCATTGGTGCAAAATGCATCAAACATCAAACACCTTATGAACAGCCCATGGGTGAACCCTCTGAGGCAAAGACTACTGAAAACCATGTACTGAGGTCCTCCTACCCTCAAGCGGGTCCCTTGTCAGACCAAGTTGGCTGATAATGTAGCGCGGGATGTCGGTCTTGATGCCTTGGCCCTCTTTGGCATGACCCTCTGCAGCCTCCAGGAGATGATAAAACTCTTCAGGGTCAAACTCCTACAAGACAGAAAGTATTTATCTTTAACAGAAAACTCTGTTGCCGCGTGTTGGTTTTCATGTCTGCGGTTTGAACCGACTCCAATAACATGATATTTATCCTCTGGGATGCGAATTTTAGCAGGGGAACCCTGCCAAAAAAACGTGTATTTTACCCCCCGGAATGCGATTTTTAACTGGGGACACCCTCGAAACGCAATTGGGCTAGTTTTGAGTAGCGAATTGGGTGGGTTTTCTTGTGAAAACCTGGCAAACCTGACTCTGACTAGACTTTGACTTGCATAACTTAAAGCATCTGGCCATACCAATCTAAGTTTGAACAGATATCTTACAACTGATAGACGCAACAGAATTCACAGCAGAAGTAACAAGGCTGACTGACCCAGACCGTAGCTAAGGAACTATTGTAGACAACCTACCAGACATTCAAGGAGTCGAGCAGGCCTGGCGATGACGATGAGAATCTTCTTCACCAGCTCCTTGATGAAGGTCACCTCTGCACTCTCCGATCGCTCAGTTGACTGAATTACAACGACAGAACACATCACAAGTGGTCATCTATATGCATGCATCAATAAAAGCAATGATCAGAAACAACTTGAAATGGAAGAATACACAGGGGGGAGAGTATTTTAAATACAGAAAGTTAGTTTTAGCTCAGAAGAATGAAGAAAGCAAAGTCTCTGGAGGCGTCATTTACCTCCTGAAAGAGCCTTTCCAGTTTATCCGTGAGCTCACAGAAGTATCGTGAGGTAATGAGGCCGAGACAGGACTTTTCCAAGCAGTCTCTGGCCAACTCAATGATCTGATGATGTGCGAAGCTGAGGACACCGTCAGCCAGAGGCAGGACATTCTCAGGGGAGTTGCTTTGAATGATCTCCTTGATGCGCTCCTCCATCTGAGCTGTGGCCTGAAGGGTGGAGAATGCAAACCAACAATGAATTTCCCTTTAAAGATACGATCACTCGATAGTGAAGAAGATTGGTGAAAGTAGGATACACTTACCTTGGGAAATCTTTCCTTGTACACATGATTCATCATGATAATCTCATGGTCACAGCATGATGGGGATCTTCCAGGACTGTCAATGCAATATAAGAAAAACATTTATTTCAATATACTAATGTTATAATTCTTTATAAATAATAATAATATTGTGAGAAAGAGATGGGCTGTGTCCCAGTTTGCATACATGCATACATAAAATGTTTTCAACACTTATTTTAAATTTGTGACATACTACAACATTAATAAATTTGCATCTTCACACCAAAAAAAAAAAGGTTTATTTTGCAATAATGACCAGCTGTTTGTATGTTTGTATAGATATTTTCTTTAAACTTTTTTTTAGTGCAATTTATCTCTTTGTGTCAAAGAAGAACATTAACAAACTTCTCCTCTTCAGCAGTCCAAAGGGTTGCGCGTAACATTAGCTTAAAAATCATGTACTCTGCCATTTTTGGCATACTACTTTTAATGTACTATGATTTAGTATGCAGTAATTCTTGCATATTATTCAGTTTGTAAAATGGGATTCAGAAAAAGACAGATCTGAGATAAGTTTAAAAAGACAACAACAATTAAGCTTCCTGTACCTGAGACTGCGAGAACGTGGCCGCATAGGCGTAGCTCTCCTGAGGTCGTCTCCAGAAATGCTCTCCGTGTAGAAATGCTTGGACAGGAAGTGGAGCTCGTCTGGTGTGGGCTGGAAAGGCAGCTGATGGAGCTTCTCCTGTGATGAACAGGACGACTGGAAATGAAACGAAAATACATTGAAAAAGAAAAGAAAAGAAAAGAAGAGAAAATGAAATTAAAACAAAACAAGAAAGAAAAGATGCCCACTGATGTGTTACATAACACATCATTAGGTGATAATGCAGGTGATGTATAAAACTAAAACACAGCAATGGGTTTATCACTGTTTTCCTGTTTCTTCATGATGATTCAGTTCTACATATGATGTGGAGCGGAGACCTCAGTCAATACGCAAGTATATAAGTGAGGTAAACTAAAATAATAGTTAACCCAATCTCATTTAATTCCACGATGACAGATTTGCAAATTTTCATTTTTTGGGGTCAACTACTTCTTTCATGTAAGGGAGTCAGAGTCTAAAATTTAACTAAGAAGCTTTTATTCTTTTGAAACTGTGGGGTGGATTCTGAAAAAAAAAAAAAAAAAGGTTAATTATGTACTGTATTAAAAACACATTTTGTTCACCATTTTAAAGACTGCTATATTGTGCCCTAACCAACAATGACCCTATGTTTCCTATATTAATCTGTATGTCTGCTTATTAGGATATTTTGCCTGTAGGTTAGTTAATAAACTGGTAATATTGTGCTCTGATATTAAACTCACAGCCCCATTCACATTGAAATCACATCAAAAAAATTACTTCCTATTTTAATACTTTAAAATGTAATTTATTCCTGTGATGGCAAAGTTTAATTATCATCAGCCATTAGTTCAAAAGAACAACTTTTATTTGAAATAGCCTTTTTTTTTTTTTTGGTAACAATGTAAAAGTCTTTACTCTCACTTTTATTAAGTATTCATTTCTAATTAATAAAAAAATGTTACTGACAAATGTTATTGAGGGGAAATTTCTGTTGGCTAGTTTGCCAGCATCATACCGCTAGCCATTTCCTGTAAAGATGGGCAGCTGCAGCAACTGTGTCACTAAACAACAACAACAACAACCACCACCAGAGAGTGAGTGAGTGGGTGGGCAGTCTGGCGCGGATTCAGGGACATATTTATCAGCAAACAAATCTGGCGCTGCTCAGAGGCACATGAATCAGACTGGGAGACAGTCATGGCAGCATCTGTTGCCCGTGGCAGACAGTCTCAGCCAAGTATCAATTCAGTTGTGCATGTGAGTAGAGACCTGTGCGGGACGGATTTTTCCGTCATACATGTGAGTGCAAGGACACAAGACACAAACCCAAAGCTTCAAAGCAGAAACGGCAATGAAGCTTGCAATGTCAACAACATACAAAAAAAGTAATGTTCGTTGGCACTCATTGTATACAACAAGCTGAATACAATTTTAGTTGATAGTTGGAGATCCCTCTGCTCCAAAACCCAGTGAGCTGCTCACCTAAATAGCATTTTAAGCCATCACAGATGTGCTGTTAACAGAAAGGTAACATTATGCTGCCTTTAAAAGAAGATCCCAGAATGCATTGCTAAGATAGCAGATGAGTCAGTAGAAATGTTGATTATAAATACATTTCATTTAATACTTAATGTACTGTTGTACCTATTTTTTAAAACTGATACATTTAAGTATACTTATGCCTTATATGAGTGATTCTCAACCAGGGGCCTCAGCAAACCTCCAATATGACTTAAACTGATTTAAATTAAGATAAAACAAGCATTAATATAAACTAAAACTACCAAAATGAAATTCAATTTTAATTCACCTCCACAACGACAGGTATTTTATTATTATTTTTTTTCCCAATGAAGAACCAGGTTTCCCACAGCCTTGGTACACTTATATGAGACCTCATTTTATGAGTGTGTTCTAGACCTGGAAAACTCTATATAGGCATTTTTATAATGAACATCTTTTTTTTCTAATTATTCCAAGCTTTAAAATATTTTATCAGGTAGAAATGGTAAAGAAAAATATTTTTGAAAATCCTTATCCTTAGCTATTAAACCACAAACGACTGGAAAAGTCATGTAAATTTATTGGTTAAAAAGAGCAGGGGACCCTTAAGAACATTTGACTCTTAAAACTTCTGGAATCCTGAATTGAACTGAATTGCATTGAATTTTATTTTTAAAATAGGGGCAGGGGGGTTGTAGACAATAGGGGGTCTTGGAGTAAAAAGGCTGTCATGTGAGTCATGTTTCTCATTTGCCAATAAGAGTTTCACTTCACATGAGATTCCTTTTCAGATATAAGTTAGGTGCATTTATAGGCAGTAGACAGAGAGGTAGCTCAGTAGATTTTGGAACAGAGCCTTTGTCTTCACAGTTCAATGCTAATTTCGGTTCACTCAAAGGAGGCATTCATACTGACAGTGATTTATTTGCCTATTGCCCCCAAAATGACTTTGATGTTGGTTGCTGATAGGCATATGCTAGATTTGCTGCATATTTTGCTCAACTTTGGCACAATGCCAAAAGTGGCATTCAAATCTCTTCAAATGCCAATGTAATGTAATTTTCTCCTTCAAAGTCATTTTGTTGCTTCAAATCTCTGCCAGTGAATGCACAATTACTTCTACCATTTGAAAAACATGTGGTACTTACAGAGACGGTAGAGCTGGGTGTGTTTGTTCCATAGCCAGAGGAGGGAAGGGATGCCAAGGACCAGCGTCGCCCATCAGTTCTACAAACACAGACATCCCTCAGTCCATTTCCCCTCAAAATAATTACAGGTACTGTTTAGAATCATCATCAGTAAATGGCATATACTAGATTGCATTGCATTGGATCCAAGACACGAGAGGCGAGTGGTACACTAGATAAAAGGAAAATGCTGAGCGAGTCATTTATTTTCAAAGTAGAGCAGATGAAAGACAGTGGCAGTGTAATCCATGAGCTGGGGCTGCTATCAAGCAGTGCAATTTCCTATGGATCTCCTGGCTGATTGAATGATCTGATGATAATCACAGGAAGACAAACGCCACAAACACTGGGAGGAGTGTTACATGGGCTGAGTAAATACAGAAAATGCCTAAAAATGGTTGTGCAGGCACTTGATGTCAATAGCCACAGAAGGTGCGTGATGCACTATGGTAGATTTCGATAGAGTGAATCTCATGAAAACATGTCCAGGTCAGATTGCACCCCACCAAAAAAAAACAAAAAATTCAGAAGAAAGAACATAAGTTATATTCTTACAACATTCTTAACATATAGAAAGTATATTAGTAGAAATTATTTTTATATTACAGTTTTTAGGGCCATTCATATTTTTTTCCCATAATAATTAAAAGACAAATTCTCATTTGCCATAATGCTTTTTTCTATTAAAAATTACTATACAAATGGAATTGAATTGAAAAAATTACTTACAGTAAAGAAATTGAAAAAAGCAAAACATTTTGAAATAAATGATTTCTTAATGTAACACTTCACAATTTAAATAGTTTACTTGTTTGTTTGTCATCATAAAAATAACACTACAATGGAAAAACCTTTTATGATCCAAATGGGAAAAAAAAAAAAAAAAGATATGAGATTCGCTCAATAAGTTTCATTTGAATTACCTGTCTGCTCTTAGTCCATGACTAGAGGATTAAAAATAGTAAAAAAATAATAAATAAATTAATAAAATAAAATAAGTAAAAAAAGCATACAAATTTTGAAATAAAAGACCCATTTTTCACCCCATCCTGTCTGATCAAACAGAGTTTGATGTGACAGGTTAAATCTGAACTTCTGAACCACGGTTTTAAATTTATTCCCATCTAAAACTGTAGAAAGCCTGTCAGCTCCTGAGCAACCAAGAGCTTTCAACAGCCACATGCTCCTCACTTCAAAGAGCACTGTTTACTTGAACATTGTACTGACGTCCTGATATTCCTGACAGATCTGGACCACTATTCTAATAATACAGATATTTAACTTTTAAATTATGCATTTTGAGTGCCATAGGTAGTTTACACACTACGTTCCTCTTTCCACATTTTAATTTTCTGAAATTTACACCACAATGATAGGGTGTTTGCTTGATTTTTTTCTTTCTTTTTTACTCATATTCCAGGTAAAAACTTGGTAGCTTAGAAATATAGAAAACTTCTCTTCAGAAGTGTGTCATGGGTATAGATGTCCATGTTATTACCTGCGTGTGAAGGAGAAATGAGCTGAAGCACTAGGGGAGAAGTTTCTAGGGCTGTCTTGCGGACTGGTGCCTAAAAAAAAAAGAAAGAAACCAAAACAAAAAAAGGTTTCACACTTTTTACTGTGCCAACAATAGTCTAAAATCTTCTGATAATATTATTAACATTTTTTTCTTCTTCTGCAGTTATATATGGCCGTGCCAGCTCTACCATCTTTTTCTTGAAGGGATAGGGAATATTTTTAGTAAACAACAACATTTTGGTTTGGCCCACAAAACTATTACATTGCCTCAAATGCTTCGGATTATAATTAATAAGTTACATGGACAGTTTTTATAGTATTTTATGATGCCTTTTGTCCTTTTGGCAAACAACATAGGAGTGAGTTAAGCCAGAAAGGTCTGTATGCCATTGTCACCATATGTGCCCTCTTATTAGCCGAACCCCACTGTTTCTGGGGATTGCTTTTGGCAATATGGCCACAATTGAGTGTCTGGGAGATCCCAAATCATGGTCATTAGAGCCAGTGTCCCACTTCCACCAACAGAAAAACAGCCTTCTGCCCTGCAATAATTACAGATAATTAACCCGATTGAACGGGGAAAGAGTTAATCATTAATTAATAGACATGTCTAAGGGCCCACCGGTGCTGATAAAGAGAGGCCCCTGAGCTTTGCTGATGGTGGCTGCACATTAGTGGTGACTCATTTACTGATATTCACACACAACTGATAAACAGAGTCTGATAAAATACTGAACTTCCATTTGAACTTCTATTCCGCAAGGATGCATTAAATTAATCAAAAGTGACAGTAAAAAATTCTACATTGTTACCAAACATTTTTTGCACTTTCTATTCACCATAGAATTCTGCAAAGTAGGACCTACTTTAGATTGTAACCATGTAATTTGTCCTCATTTGTAAGTTGCTTTGGATAAAAGTGTCTGCTAAATGACTAAATGTAAATGTAAATGTAACTACATTAAAATTAATATTTGATACAATGCACTTATTGTGTACATACATGTTTTATGTGTTTGTACTTACATTTAAAAATACCTTCCTGTAATTACACTGTACCCCATCCTTAAACCTAACCATACCACCAAACTTTTGCCATCACAGGAATATATTGTATTTTAAAATATATTAAAATAGAAAACGGTTCTTTTAAATTTAAAAAAATATTACGGTTTTTGCTATATTTTTGATTGAATAAATGCAGCCTTGTTGAAGAGACATTTAAAAAAAATGACAGATCGCTAAATTTAGATCAGTAATGTATAAAATACATTTATAAATGTATTATACTTTATCCTCACATAATTCATGACTCAAGTCTATAAACGCTATGTTAAATGTTATCCGAGAGCATGAGCTGTTATGAGCCAGCTGACTATGCTATAAAACTAAAGTGACGTTTAATCGCATAATACGCTGTCATTAAATCAACAGTAATGCTGAATGTTCTTTAAAGGTTTCCAGTACAGGGGCAGTGTGTGCCCAGTCTGCAGAATGAGAGAGACGTAGACCTTGTGTACAGCTCATGAATCAGACACAGGATCGCTGATCAAACACACTTTTTTTCTGCAGCACTTTATTGTGTTTTGTGGACCTGGCTGTATTACAACAGACTGCTCTCTGTGACACAGGTAAGTAATACACCATTCCCTAACCAGGTGTGAAGCGACAAATTTTCAAGAAAGAAGCCAATCAGAACCAGGGGTGTGAAGTAACGAATTACAAATACTCACGTTACAGTAATTAAGTAGTTTTTATCAGTAATTGTACTTTTTTGAGTAGTTTAAAAATTGTGTACTTTTACTTTTACTTGAGTACATTTTAAGTGATGTATCGGTACTTTTACTCCGCTATTTTCCTCCGTTTGTGGTCGTTACATGCTTATTTTAATTTTATTTTTATCCATCAACGTGATTGGATAGAGAGTAATAGGTCTCGTGACTTTCGTCAAATCAAATTGTGCATAGAAAACTTTAACCGCCAACTGTTTATCATGGCTGCTGGAAGTGCATTCTTCAAGCATCAATTCAGTCGCATCTTCCTCTAACTTGATATGTTAAGGTAAATTTCGGATTTCTGCTTACTAAATGATTTGTATATATGCTTGCCTATCTACACGGCCTGAAATTTGGTGTGAGGTTGCGGGTATTGCATACAGTGTTAGGCCTTTTACTTGAGTATATTTTTTCAGTACTCTTTCCACCACTGATCAGAACATAGTTTAATTTAAAGCTATATATTATATTAGAGTTTTTTTTAGAGACTTTGCTATGAGTAGGGCTACACCGCAAACATAAGAATCCAAGTGTCACTTGGACAGACTCTAGACATCGAAACCATCAGTATCAACACACGTGCACTTATGCAAACAGACAAACACACTGAACCAGTTACCTGTGTGTGATGACAGAGGTGAGTGTGGTCGAGGAAGGACTGATGACTGTCCACTCCCTATCAGACTTTTTCTGTTGCTCGTTCTGCAGCTAGAAAACAAACCAAAGCATTGTGTTTTGTGGAAAATGACAACAACATTAAGAGTCATTTTAACACCTAGTCACACTGGCACAAAAAGGAATATTAGTGAGGCATCAATACTTTAATTGTGCATCTGTCATGGTTTACAAAGCAATAAGCCCCAAGAAGCCGTGGTTTACAGTGAATTTATAACAGCTAAGGGGCGTAGCGGTTATAAATTCACTGTAAACCACGGCTTCACAGGGCTAATTGCTTTTATAAAACGGTTATTCCATATACGTAGTATGGTTTCACAAAATAAAACGGTGCAAATAAAGTGTAATGATATTAATAAAAACAGTATTTTTCCACCAAACAATGTAGTTCCTCAGAATCAGTTGTGGTTCCAACAAAGTGGTTGCCAAGCAACAGACAAATGTAAACAAAGGTGCATGTCTGTAGAGTAATTTACAACAGCTTCGAATCAAGGACCAGAACTATCCGTGTTATAAATAAAATATCACTATAGATTTAAAAGTATCATTGTAGATAACTGATTTTACATTAGTTTGATATGAACTGCAGGTAAATAGCACATATCATTTACTGTAACACTGCTCTTTGAATGTGCCAAGAAAAAAAAAAAAAACAGTGATAATGAAATTAAACTCACTCTCCTACTTTACATGACCCTAGTGAATTATTTAACATTTCACATCCACACAACGCGTCATCTTTACACTCTCAACAGCCTTATACCTGAATAGGAACATAATTTGCTTAAAAACATTTTATTTGTAGAGTGTTACAGATATACAAAAAGTAATTACTTTAAAAAGAAAAAGTAATACAAATATTTTTCAAATTTGCAAATACAACAAAGATTATATGTTTTACGAGAACATACTATTTAAGTCTATTTAATTTCAGACGGCACACCTGATTAACTGCTCACATGTGAACACTTTATAAAGGACCATGACATAGAGCATATTGTTTGTCCTAAGCAGCTACTCACAAAATTAGTTTTTGCGTTGAAAAAAAGAAAAAAAAAAAAAGAAAAAAGAGAGAATTGGGCAGTGGAATTGGGGGAATAAATGCAAGGTTATGAGATGTGAGTTAAACATCTCATAACCTTGTGAGATTTATCTCGAGCACCGCATTTTTAGAAGGCATTTCGTGCACGAGATGCTGCAAAAGACGCAAGATGTGAGTGCAATGGTCAAACTTGTCTGTCATATGCAAGTTTACATAGAAAACAATGGAAATGCAATGCAGTGAAATGCAAAAACCTATAAAGAACTATTACTGTATGTTTGTGCTGTTTGAAGATATGGGTGCGTGCGTGTGTGCACACTCATCCGTAGCGCGTGCGTGCAGATATTGATTGGTCTTTCAAGGCTTGCTTTTCAACAGACAAACTAACACAAAAAATGTCAACATGCCCGTCTTTGTGAGTATCCTTGCAAACATTGTTGGTCATGTCTTGAACGTAATCAGTCGAGAAAGACAACGCATGTGTATCAGTATCAGTGTACTGGATCTGTGAATTATGTCTTAAAGGAACAGCAGTCTATTTCTGCTGTCTGTGTTTTTAATGTTAAACAACAAAAGACAAGGAAATCACTCACTGCTCTTGATTGAATAGCTTTTGCAACTTCATCAAGGGTTGGTCTTTAATTTATAGAGTGAAATATACACTGTTATTTTACATTTGTTTTTAAATTTCTGTGCCTGAAAATTACTGTTAAACACCTGAAAAACTCTGTTGTATCTTTGCTCTATTGTATTTATTTGTGCCGTTGCATTTAGTTAGATTATTTGATTTGATTTTCTTTTTTATTTTAGTCCTTTTTTCTCTGAACATAGCACATACCAAACTGAACTGTACCGAACCGTGACCCTAAAACCCTGAACCGAACCGTGAGCAATCTGAACCGTTACACCCCTAACTGTAAGTATATTAGTTGGCAAGTAAAATATATAATAATTGGCAAATTCTACCTACACTACCTATTTGTTAACAGTAATAACTGTAACACTAAAAAAATTAAGTAATATATACCTCAAAATATTAGCTCTGACACCGTAAAGTGCACATGCGTCAAAGTCCAGGAGGGAATCGCGGGATTGATTCATCATCTTCTGTGTCAATGGCGGGACCGTGACGTGTCGAACTATAGGTTTTATTTATAACATGCTGATATCGTCATGCAAATGTTAATTGTTTAATGGTAAGATCGACCAAAAGATTTGTAATTGGCACGCTTCTAACACTGTCGGCGTCACAGCCGTGGTGACAGGTTGACTGTTAGAATTTGTGGTTGGCCAAATTAATGGTTCCTGCAAATGCGAGTAAATATCTACATTGGTGATTGGTTGATGAGTGATGGTTGATGTGCTAAGAACAGACAGGAGTAAGTGATTATTTTACAGATTATTATTATTATTATTATTATTGGTGTTGTGAAATGATTGTATCTGAAAATGTTTCTGTGGGTGCATTTGCATGTATCTTTGTATGCCTTGGTTCGCGCGATGCAATACAAAACTTCCTTTACAAGCATTTAATGTGCAAAAAATGTCAAACTGTTCCAACTAAGCTGTGAACAAGACCGTACACTAACTATACTAAGTTAACTTTCTCTGTGCATAATGTTGTATAAACTTGATATTACAGCTACATATAAGTCCCCAAGCTAATGGTTAGCGTGGATGTACAGCGATTAGCGCGTGCTGTGTTGACACTGACAAAAAGCAAAAGATAGAATTGTGTAGGCTTAATGCATTTTATATTCCTTATGTGATCTTAGAAACATCAATTCTATGATTTGAGTTTTATAGATTTTGTGCCAATTCACTTGGAGTTTTATGCTTTAGTGATCGTGAGTTTGCAGAAACATTGCAATATGTGAACTTTTAGAAAACTTGTAGGAAATTCTTAACTTCTAACAACTAAAATCCATCTCTTTATAGAGTATTAAGGGAAAAAAGGGATACAGTTGTCTGTTGAAGAAACCAAGAAGAGCTCTTTCAAGACTGTCAGGTATGTTATTAAATGACTGATCAACTCGAGGCATTCAAAGGGATACACAAAATGTTGCCCTGATGCCATTGTTTCATTTCCAATATCAGTCATGTGATTCAGCTGATCAACCAATCCAATCCATTTTAAAACACACTATATGTTCATTTTGTTAGGCAGTACATTTTAGGGATAGTTCACCCAAAAGTGGGAATTCTGTCCTCATTTACTCAATGTCGTGTTGTTACAAACTCGTAAGATTTTGGTTAATCTTCGATACACAAATGAATATATTTTCAATGAAAACTGAGAGATTTCTGTCCCTCCATTGAAAGTCTACTAATCCAAATCTCTTGATGCTTCAAGTTGTTCATGAAGATATTGTAAAATAAATTTCAAGTAAAATAAAATTCCATATGAATCGAGCAGTTTAATCCAAGTCTTCTGAAGAGTCACAATTGCTTTATATGATGAACAGATTTCATTTAGACTTATTTTTACGATCAGCGAACATAAACAGAAGCTCAACCATACTTGATGTGTGAGAACAAACCTCATTGGTTCTTGCGGAACCTCAAACATGCTGCATATAGCGAGAATGAACTTTGCTGGTTCTCACACATCAAGCAAGCATGCTTGAGCTTCCATTTACCAAAGCTGGATGCTGCAAACACTGTTTGCTAATCAGTGTTTATATGTGAATAAAAGCCTATAATTAAATCATATCAAGTATTTCAAGTTCATCATATAAATTGATCATGTCTCTTCAGAAGACTTGGATTAAACCACTCAATTCACATTAATTTCTTTTACTCTCTTTTTTTACTCTTATCTCTTTATGAACTTTTCGAAGCTTAAGAGTTTTGGGTGAATAGACTTTCAGTGGAAGAACAGAAATCTCTGAGATTTTATTAAAAACATTTTAATTTGTGTTTTGAAGATGAACAAAAGTCTTCTGGTTTTGGAAACAACATGAGGGTGAGTAAATGATGACAATTTTAATTTTCAGGAGATCTAAGCCTTTAAGAATTACATGCGTGAGCATATATGCTTAACATAACATTTTTGGGGTTTAGTCCAGTTTTTTTATTGGAGTATATCATGGCCCACGTCTGTAAAAGACACATAAAAAAAAAACTTTAGAATGCCATCATGGTAGCAATGTAGAATCACCAAGAAAACAACTTGTTAATATACAGTAGTCAACATTTGAAGTGGATCATAAAAGTTCATCAAAGTTGTCCTAAGACAAGAATGGGTTTTTTTTTTTTTGGTTTTAGGACAACTTTGATGAAAGGTTTTGATCCACTTCAAATGTTGACTACTGTACAGCATGTTAATATAATTAAAGGGATAGTTCACCTTCAGTTGCTGACACTATGCAAGTCAATGGGGACCAGCAACTGAAGGTGAACTATCCCTTTAAACTAACGTAAAATATGTACGTGCATCTTGTTTTTTCTTTTTAACAGGAGGATGAACTTGAGGGCCACACAAACCAAATAATGAAGGTGTTGGTGATGCATGATCCCACAGCTGAGGAGGACCCAGCCTCATTTCAAGTGTTGCAACCATTGTAGTCACAAATTACATCAAATCACAGTTTCTTATTGTTTGAAATGACAAAATGTGACCATGAAGACATTGGTTTATTTTTGAATGTAAAGCGTTCAAGAAGTTTTATCTAACATCAGTGATATGAAGTTGTATTTCACTTGAAATCGATTGTACGACTCTTTTGTGCGTACATTAATTCATTTTAAATGTTAAAAAATAAATGTTTGTTATTTGGTCAATAAAAAGTAATTGATGTAATATCCTGTGCCTGACCATTTTTAGGTAAATTCAACCTTTCCTGAATAAATAATGTGTAATTATCCCTATTGGCTAATTATTATTAATAATAATTATTAGATGAACTGTTGCCTGCTAACCATAGAGTTAATATTACTCAATTTTTATAGGTAATTAGTTGTGTAATGTATTGAGAAATATTAGGGAGAC